CCCTTGGGCGGCGTCGGCTGTGCAGCAGGCACACAGCAGCGGACGTCCAGCCCTGGCCTTGAGGCCCCGCCCAGATTCGTGCCAGGCCCCGCCCCGTCTCCTATTCCTCCCCTCCCCAAGGCTTGCTTTCCGCCAGTTCTGATCCGCGGGCTCGCGTCCAGTCCGGGTGATCTGTCCCGCCCCCGCCTAGCCCATCCCCCGTGCCCCCAAGTCCCGTCGGGTCCCCGACTCCTGAGGAAGCACAGTCCTCCTGACAAGCCCATTCCGGAGTCCCGCCCCCGCCGCGACGCAAACCCCGCCTTTCAAGCGTAGCCACGCCCCTCGCGGACACACGCCCCTCCCACGACCACGCCCCCGAGCAGGCCCCGCCCCCCAAGACTCGGCGCCCCGCCCCTCCCGGAGGCCCGACCCCAGCCCGGCGGCGGCGGCGGCGGCGGCGACGACCGTTGGCGCGTTCGGCGGGCGCCCGGCGGGAGCGAGCGGCGCGGCCCGGTAGGTGAGCGGGGCCGGCGCGCCGCCTCCGCGCTCCTTTCTTTCTCCGCGCGCGGCCCCCTCCGCCGCCGGCCCACCCCGCCCTCGGTCGCCCGGCCGCACCTCGGGGCGCCGCCCGCGCCTCCTTTGTTCGTGGACCGACTCCGGGAACTTGCACTGGGCCGGGGCTCGCGGGCCGAAGGGCGGGGGCCGCGGCCCGGGGCAGGCGGGGACCTGCGCGGCCAGGCCGAGGCCATTCAGCGCTCGGGACCGGCCCAGGGCGCCAGCGGGGCAGGGGCCGGGGTCCGGACTGGACCGGGTTGGATCTGATTTTCTGTCGGACAAGCGAGCGGCCGCATTGTTTGGGCAGAGCGGTCTCCAGGGACCCAACTCTGCAGCTTAACTGCAGGAACGCAGGTCAGCCTCCGGCCTGGCCAGGGTCCAGTGTAGACGAGAGGACCCGGACCGGGGGAATGTGGACAGAGAGGGCCCAGACTTGTGGAGTGCAGGACAGAGGTGCTCAGATTTGTGGAGTGCAGACGGGGTGCTCAGACCTGGGGAGCCTAGGAGTGTGGAAGAGGAGCCCGCCCCACACTGGAGTTAGACAGGGAGCTGGCTCCACTTGAACTACCTGGCCACTTACTAGGGCGGTGACTGCTTCCCGTTCCTCAGTTTCCTCAGTTGTCTGCCTGTGGGGCTACTGCTAGGGTTGTGAGTGGGTTTGGCCTGGTCCCCTGTTATTTTCACCCGCTCATCATGCTGCCCCAGGGTTGTAGGAACCTGTAGCAGTGACCATGAGGCCTGCCTCGAAGGGCCCCTGTCTAGGGCAGTGCCCTGAGTGACAGGTCACAGGGAAGGGTCCCTGTCTAGGGTGGTGTCCCATGTGCCAGATCAGAGAGGCGAGGGGCAGGGGACAGTGGCCGAGGGCGGGTGGGCTGGGGTTAGGAGAGAACTTGGGGAAGTCTTGCCAGGGAGTTGAGATTCATGTCAACAGTAGGCATTGGGGGAAGGGGAAAGCCAACTTTGAGGGGAGAGGCCGTGTTTAGGTTTTAAAAGATTCTAAAGGAAACACAATTGTCACAGTGCATAGGTTCTTGTGAAAAATCAGAATAAACATGTACACCTTTCCCTGTGGTTTGGGGAACTAGATGATGGAGAGTAAGTACCCAGGCCCAGGAGAGGACAAGGAAGGCCATAGCCAAAGGATGTGGCTTAGGCAAAGGCCCTGGGGTAGGAATGCTTGCACACCTGCCAGTGCCTGTGCCTGTGCCTCCTGAACAGGTACACTCGGGGCTGAGTCTCTAAACACTGCAAGTTCAGCCTTTTCCTGAAATCTCTTGAACTGGAACCAGCCCTCAGGCAGGCTTAGTCTGCTCGCCTGGTGGACTGAGTTTACCTCTGCGACAGGAAGCAGCAGGGGCTGTGAGGTCAGCAAAGACCAGTGCTGAGGAAAGCCCTTGGTCTTGGGCTAGACTGTTATACTGACCTATGGAGGGCAGGAGAAGGCAGGGGCCGGTGGCTGAGGACAGTGACTTGCAGCATGTTGGGGCAGTTGAGGGGAGGCTCTGCGTGGAGACGGTCAAGGACTGGCTGACCTCTGCCTTGTGTTTAGAACCAGGGCTTCAGCAGGCAGCGGTCCTGCCACAGGGTGACCAGCACAGGTGACCCAGTGGGGAGCAGGGAGTGGCCCTGCTTCTGCTTGGGCTGCTTGTGTTCTGGAGGACATGGCAGGGGAAACTGCATGTCTTTTGCTGGTTATCCAGGCAGGTGGGCTGGCAGCACTTGTGCTAGGCCAGGCTGGGGAGGAAGTGATGGGCGATGACTTAGGATAGGGAGCAGGGAGTGAGGTGGCCCTGGTTTCCTTTCTTGGAGGGTAAGAGACTGGTGCTTTAGGCAGGTGGGTGTTGTGCGGGGCAGATTCTCATCAGTCTTCTGGCATTTGCTTCCGTCCACCCTGTCAGTCCCTTTTGAGTGTCCCTTTCGATCAGGATTGCTGTGACTGACCTGAGTACGTAGGGTGAGTACTGTGCTCCCTCTCGTCCTCCCCTCTTGGCAGGCTCAGGTCCTCCCCTGCCACCTTCCTTTTGGAAATAGGCCATGGCCTTTTGCTGAGGGTTTTGCTCCTAGGCATGGTCTCTCGCACACGGGCTGCACGGCAGCTGTGGGTGCACGTTGCATGACCTCTGTCTTCACTGAACCAACTGTGGGGCAGGATTGACATGAGTCTGAAGAGAGAAGACCACATGGATTTTTATAAAAGTAGGAATTAGGAATTTTGTTCATGATTGGTAGCCTACATTTAAAAACTTAGCAAATCTTTTTGGCAGTACTGGGATTTGAACTCAGGGCTTTGCTAGGCTACACTCTACTCGTCAACTCTTTAAGTTAACATTTTTTTCTTATTTCAAAAGCAGTGTGTATTCTTTTTAGAAAATTTAGAAAATGTGTTGTGTTGCTCTGGTTTCCAGCGCTGTGACAAAATATCTGAGACAAACAACTTATAAGGAGGAAAGGTTTATTTTGGCTCACAGTTTTGGAAGTTTCAGGCCATGGTTAGTTGCCTCCATTCTTTTGGCAGCCTGTTTTGGTGGAGCAAAGCTGTTCAACTCAGTGGCCAGGAGGCAAAGAAGACAGCCAGGAAGTGGCCAGGGTCCTAGTATCCCCTTCGAGGGCACATTCTCAATAACCTAACTTCCTTTCAGTAGACCCTACCTCTAAAGGAGGGTCCACTGCTCTCACTAGCACCCCAGACTGGCAATAAAACCCTCACCACACAGCCTTTGGAGGAACATTCAAGATTCAAGCTATAGCCAGGCACCAGCGGCTCACACCTGTAACCTTAGCCACTTGGGAAGCTGAGATTGGGAGGATCAAGGTTCAAGGCCAACCTGGGCAAATAGTTCTAGAGACACCATCTCTGAAATAATTCCAGCAGAATGGGCTGGAGGTGTGGCTCAAGTGGTAGAGTGCCTGCTCTGCAAGTGCGAAGCCCTGAGTTCAAACCCCAGTCTTTCCCCCTTCCCCTCCCCCTACCAAAAAAGCATTCAAACTATAACATATGCACAAGATAAATGAAGTTCTGACACTCAGAGAAACTAAGAGTGTTGCAGCCAAACTGCAGTGGGTTCTTGGGACATCCCTTTGTTTCCTGGCTTAGCAGCACTTGTTCTGTTTAGGGATGCTTGGCCCCTCACAGGTATACACTGCTGGGGCCGAGTCCCTGTTCTGTTGCTATAACAAAAATACCTGAGACTGAGTACTTTGTAAGGTAAGGAAGTTTATGTAATGCACAGTTTTGGAGGCTGCATGTCCAGGTTGAGTGGTCCCATTTGGTTGGCCCTGGTCAGGATCTTCTGTCTGTGGCATAACATGGCAAAGAGCTTGTGTGGTGAGAAAGGAAACCAGAGCCAGGTGGGGTCAGGCTCACTTATAACATCCTGTTCTAGTGAGAACTAATCCACTCCTGTGAGACCAGCGTTTACCTTCATCACCCCACAGGTGCCACCACCTTCAGTGCTGGTACTTTGGGGAGTTAAGTCTTGACATGAGTGTTGGCTTGGATGAGCCACATTCAAATCACAGCAGGCCTCTAGAATGCCCACTGTGACCACACATCTGCACACGTGTGTGCTGGGCAGGGAAGCCAGCCCCACGGTTCAGGCTTGTGGTGGAGGCTCCTGCAGAGAGCCGTGGTGGGAAGCACATGCAAAACAGAGGGCGCAAGTAAGCACATCCCGCCTTAGGTGTCACCTTCTTAGGTTGTCCCCGTGGGCCCTGTGGCTCCCCAGGCTGGCCCCCAGGTTGAGCTCCCCAGGTGGGAGCTTAGAACATTTCCTTTGTGCTTAGAACAGCACCTGCAGGGCGTGGAGTAGGCATGGGCGCAGCAGCTGCCTCTGTTAACGGAACTGTGGCACAGTCAGGGGTTGCCACATTTACACTAGACAGTGCTACCTGACAAGAGCCTTTAGGAAGGGCTTTCCTGCTGTATCCCCAAGGTTCCAGGGTCCTTTCCTTCCCCGGGTATGTCAATCCCAGCCCACCCCACTAGGATGCTGGGGGTATCTGGGCAAGAGACCCGCACAGGGGCTTGTTCAGCATCGTGGGTGTTTATCAGGGTCTAAGAACTTGCAGCTCTTGACCGAGCTGCCCCAGGATTGATCATTGTGATCAGGAAATTACAGCAGGTTGTCCTGGGGATGCCAAGCGTGGGGTGCCCGTCTGTCTAGGTCTCCTAAAGGAGCAGGCTCTGAGCTGGCTGACGAATTCCCTCTGCCTCCTTTGCAGATGCCTGTGTGAGGTGCATCGGGACAGGCTGAGTCCCTCTCATGGCTGCGGCCTCCCAGTCCTCTGCTGACAGGGCCAGGTGCCTTTCAATGTGGGCGAGCATAAACAAGCAGCATCAACAGGAGCCCCTGCTCAGGGGCGCAGGACTCTAGCTGGTTATCACAGTAATCAGAGCAGGGCAGACGCAGACGTGAGCTGTGAGCCATGAGCTGTGAGCTGCTCAGCTCATCCCGGTTGCCAGCCCCAGGAAAGCCATCACATCAGAACTGCAAGTGCTGTTTTCTGGCCAACCCCATGTGGCCACTGTCTCAGGTTTGCGTCTTGGGAACTGTGGGGCTGTGTGCACTTACACAGGTGGTGGGGTGTGAAGCATCTGGGCTGGTGGCCAGTCCACGGGTGCAGCACGGGCTGGGCCTAGTGTTTGGAGCTGTGCGGGGGTGTGGCTCTGTGTCTGTCCAGCGAGCATGTTGCGAGTTGAGCCTTGGGTACCTCATAGGTGGCCTGTGCCAGTGCTTGGCACTATGTTCTTGGGTGCTGGTGACAAATTCCTGTGCCTTCCAAGGAGGCCTGTCTTTTTCCTCTGAACGTTTGTGGAACACATTTTGTTTTCCCTGTCAGCACTTGGCAGGCCTTTTGAATTCAGAGTCTTGTCAGTCTTTAGCTCTGGGAAGTGTGCTGCTAAGTTTTGGAGCAACTGGCGTCCATTGGGCAAACACTGACCACCGTCACTAAGGAGTTGGACCAGCAGTCCCTGCTTTGTCCGTGAAGCACTGAGTCTGGTGTCCATACAGAAGCAGCCTGGCTACAACTGCTGTGGACACAAGTGAAGCTGGACCTCGTGGGGTGGGCCTCCTTGTTTCTTCAGTTTCTTTCTCTTTGCCTGTCCCCATTTTAGAGTTGAATAAGGCCAAACATCCTACCAAATGCTAGAACCTGGCTTCAGCTTCAGCTGCCACCATTGTTCTTGGAAGAGGATTTTGTGTTTGTATGTAACCTACGACTTAAGCCACCTACCCTGAATATGCCCTACAGGTTTGAGGATACCCCTGCCCCTCTGAAGACGGTTAGAGTGTTTCCTCCTGGGTGACTCCTGGGCTGGACCTCTTTGTCTCGGGCTTTTCTTCTGTCCTAGTCCCCTTTCTCTGTGCTGTGGACTGATATCTTCCAGCCCTGCATTTTGGGTTGGGTGATTCCCTGCCAGCACCACTTGTTGTTGGTCCTTGTCTGGATGGGCTTTTCTTGAGGCAGCGTCTTCTGATGTCTCACCATCTCATCAGGCTCTTGGAGCCCCTCGTGCGCTAACAGCCTTTCTGTGCCAGCTAGGGAAGGGCCATGTCACTGAGGGTGAAGCTTGGGGAAGAGAGTGTTTGGGCTTTACTGAGTTTGCAGTGCCCAGCAGCTTAGGTGATCCAGCCTTGGGGGTGGCTGAGACTCCCTAGGGATGAGGAGAGAGTTGGGAGTCATGTTTAGGCTGAGCAGAAGAGGAGCAGTGGCAAGTGAGAGGGAGGAGGTGGCCATGAGAGGCAGGCCATCAGCTAGAGCAGGAAGGAGGGGAGGGCTGGGTTTGGAAGTTCAGGGGAGGTTTGGGGTCACACTGAGCAGACCAGAGGAACATTGCAGGGTTAGTGGGCTGACAGTGACTTCAGAGTGGACACAGGTCCCTGTGGGGGATGCACTACAGCAGTGAGCCGTGCTGGGGCACAGGAATGGTCAGTTCTGACAGGGTGGAGGCTGTCCTGTGTGGCTGCAGGGAACATGTGGCGGTGGGCAAGAATGTTACTGAGTGATACCTGGTGGACCAGGGCTTGGTGAGGAGGACATAGGGTGGGAGAAGTGGAAGGACCAGTGGGAGTCTAGATGGCGGTCACTGGGAGCACACAGGGTCAGGGGCAAGACTCTGTGGTCAGAGAGCCGTATGACAAAAGAGGGGAGGACATAGCAGGCCAGGGTGTGGCCTTGAGATGGGGAGTTTCCCACCCAGAGGAGGCTGCTGCCTGTGCGGGCTGGGAGGGAGCCAGGGACGGAGGAGGGGATGCTCTGGCAGAAGGCATTGGGTGTAGCCATGTGGAGTGTGAGGTGACAGCAAAGTATTTAGGAGCGAGGGGAAAGCGTGGGGTGGGAGAGAACTCTTTGAGGCCTTTAGGTCATCCACGTAGAGAGGACAGTGACGATCAGAATGGAGGTAGCCCCTCAGGAGGAGGAGGCATGGAGAAGGGTCCTTGGCGGAGGGTGCCTGGGGCTCCAGATGGCTGGAGATGTCCTGCACCCAAGGGGGCCGGGGCTGATGCTGCTTTTGGGGGCAGTTCATGGCGCTACACCCGTAGCAGGTGTGGAAAGCACACGATGTAGGCTGGCACTGCTCTCGGAATCAGGAGGCCATTAGTTGCCTCCTGGTTCTCTTGTCTGTGGGCTGAGAGGTCTTCATCGGTAGGGGCTGTTTTCCTCACCTTGTAGCCCTGTGCCTGGCTTGGTGACACCATTAAATGGCAGACGGAGTGTCTATGATCAAGGATAAAAGTATACAGAGGCATTGACTGTTAGTGGCAGTCTAATAGCCTAGAAGTGGCCTTGGTGGGATCCTGCCTTTGGTGTGTGTCCTGATGGGTCTGGGAGGGCAGGTCCAGACCTGTATGGGTCAGACAACAGGGTGGGAGGAGAGGTGGGGCATCCTTGGGGCTCCTCAGGGTGGGTGGGGTTGGATATCAGCCCTGGGGCTGTGGTTGGGTGTCAGCTGCTGGAGAGGATGGGAGGTCAGGGGCAGTTAGTGCATGTCTGTGGGGCATGTTCCAGGGGGCAACTGTTGGTCTTCCTGTGTGTGTGTTCCTGATGTGGGTGTTGGAGCCAGGTGGGTCTTTGGCAGCCACAGGCATTGCCAGACTGTGATGGAACATGCTGGCTGTTGGGGAGGGCACGAGGTGGGCAGGGGTCTGCTGGGAGTGGGGCCTAGTTGGAGAAAGTGGCTTGGTGGCACCTGTGCTGGTCTGAGCCAGGCTGAGGGGAAGGACTGTCTCAGGCCCGATACCTTCCCTGCTCAGTTGACTTACTGTGTGATGGAGAAGCAAGGGGTATGTGTCTCTGGAGGAAGCCATCAGGGTGTGCTAGCCTCTTCTCTCCAAGCAGTTGCTGGTGGTGATCAACACTTGCAGTAACAGTGGGCCAGCACTGGCTTCCACAGGTGGTGTCTGCTGTAAGCCACTTACTATTCTGAGTGTTTTGGACAGGGTGCCATGTGTGGACTGTTCTCCCTTCCCATCCTGTTCCATCAGGTGATTCACCCTTGTATTTGTTTCCTGCGACTGCTGAAACAAGTCACCATAGCTGGTGGCTTAAAACGCAACAGGTTTCTCACCTGCAGGGCTGGAGGACTGATGTCCCAGGCCATTCTGGCCGGGCAGAAGTCCGCAGGGCTGGGTCCTTCTGGGGACTCTGCTGCTTGCATCCCTTGCCTCAGGCTCTGTCCTTGGATCCTGCTAACCTGACATGCGGTCTCCTCAGACTGACGCTCTGGTTTCCCCTCACGAGGCTCCCAGGAGTATATGGGGCCTTCCACGTAATCAGGTCCCCTCCCATCTCAAGATCCTAGCCTGGATCTCATCTGCAGAGTCCCTTTGCCCAGTGAGGGTTGCACAGGGTCTGGACGTTAGGATGAGGGCACGTTGGGGGTAATTCACCTTTAAGAAGATCCAGGGAGAAGGTCATGGTACATGCTGCTTTCAACTTTAATGTACACATTTTTTTTTTGCTGGGCACAGTGGGTCATACCTATAATCCCAGGTGGGAGGATCATGTGTGCAGTTTGAGGCTAGAGCATGGCTCTAAGTGGTAGACTGCCTGGCTAGCAAGCGTAATGCCCTGAGGTCAAACCCCAGAGCTGCAGTGCTAGTGACTGAACCCGGGGCCTGGGGCACACTAAAGAGGCTCTGTACCGGTGAGCTGCAGCCCAGCCCCAATATGTACATTTTATTCCTAATAGTTAAATTATTAACCATCTAGATATCAATAACATGATAGTTCATGAATAAATTGTTCAGTTTTCGTTCATTCATATCGAAAGTAGTTTGTGCAGACATCTGGTGTGCCAGTGTCTTTGTCATCCCCGAGGGCTGTCTGAGCCTAGGCCTCTATGTGTGTCTGTGAGTTGCTCTGCATCTGCTCAGGACACAAGAATGTCTTCAATAATATTAAAATGCCATGCTCTTCACGTTTTTTGTCTCCACAACCCAACCACTGACTTTGTTGCTTTGTACTGGCTTTGAGCTCAGGGCCTTGCACTTACCAGGCCACTTGAGCCACTCTGACAGCCCTTTTAGCATGGTTATTTTTGAGATAACGTGCAAGGCACGTTATGCCTTGGCTGCCCTGGACTGTGATTGTCCTATTTGTGCTTCCCCACATAGCTATGATAGACACTGCACCCAGCCATTGGTTAAGATGGGAATCTCGTGAACTTTTCCCTGGATGGCTTTGAACTGTGATCCTCCCAATCTCTACCCCCCAAGTAGTTGGTATTACAGGCATCAGCCATCATGCTTGGCTGTAAATTGGTATTTAAAGGATCTATGAAGCAGATTCTCACAGTGGCCAAGGCCCTGCCCAGGAGAGGCCTGTGTGCAGGACTGGCCCCTGGCTGGGTCAGGGAACCTGGACTGGGGAGAGTGTCCACACCTGATTGACAGGAGGAGTTCCCCGTGCCTCTGCTGTCTCACCAACGCCCGCTTTCCTTCTGGGAGTCTGGAGTTTTGACAGTGAGGGCAGTTGTGTCCGTGTGACCAGTCTCCAGTGAAGACCCTAGATGCTGAGTCTCTACTGGGCTCCCTGGTGGGGACATTTCACACAGCTGTGACAGCTGTGTTATCACAGCTCCTTGCTGGGGGGAATGAAGCGTGTCCTGAACCACTCCACTGGGAGAGAACTCTGGATGCTCGTGTCTTGTCTGGGCTTTACCCACGCACCTTCCCTCTGCTGATTCTGCCTTGGGTCCCTCACTGTAGTCAGTCTTAACCTTGGGTGTGCCTCTGTGCTGAGTCCTGGGGGTTCCCTGGTGGATCAATGACCCGATGCAGGTTTTCATTGTCACCCAGTACTTCATGAAGTCATACCCCCTGGAATAAGTTAATTTTACATTTCTTTGCTGTTTTATCTTTTGTGCTGGGGACCTCAGTGGTTTTATTGATTGAGGTTGTTCCAGACTGAAGTATTTCCTTACATTGCACTTTGTTCCAAATAAATTGTGGGAAGGTCGTGGGCCATGAGTGACTATAGGATGACCTTGGATGAACATGTCTTGTAGAGGCATTTGTGCTCTAAGGGTTGGGCAAGGTGATCTTAAGGGCCTTTGACCCCAAGACGGTGGCAGGCCCTGCTGTACACACTGGACTCGACACTGAGAAGGCACAGCAGATACACCTGGCCGGGGTGGAGCCTGGGACTGCGCACCAGGCCTCTTTTCCATCCAGATGGGCTGTGGGGTTGCTCTGCCAGGTTTCTGCTGTGAGAAGGGTTCTTAGTCCACCATTGAGATTCATTGTGACATTTGTGTGGTGACTGGCGAGGCTCTCTGTGGTGGTTTTTATTGTGAATTGCCTTCTCAGGTAAGCAGAGGAAATACAGCATCGTTAATAATGAGCTGTTTGTTTTTCCTCCTTAGGACAGTACCTCAAGAATAAACACAGTAGCATGGAGGGTTCCCTGAAGCATGGGTTTCCCTGAATGACGCGACATGCTCCCTGTCGTGGTGGCACCCCAGGATGTTCAGAGCGGGGGAGCCAGGGAAGCGGCCGCCTGGCCCCGTGCCCCCTCGTGTTCGGAGTGTGGAAGTGGCCCGAGGCAGAGCTGGCTATGGATTCACCCTCTCGGGACAGGCTCCATGTGTGCTGAGCTGTGTCATGAGGGGCAGCCCCGCAGATTTCGTGGGTCTCCGCGCTGGAGATCAGATACTCACCGTGAATGAGATCAATGTGAGAAAAGCCTCTCATGAAGACGTGGTGAAGCTGATCGGGAAGTGCTCTGGGGTCCTGCACATGGTGGTTGCTGAGGGCATCAGTCATGGCCACAGCCATGGGGACTCCTGTTCCAGTGACGAAGAAGGCGGGCTTTATGAGGGGAAAGGCTGGCTGAGGCCCAAACTCGATTCCAAAGCGTTGGGGATAAACAGGGCCGAGAGGGTGGTGGAAGAGGTGCAGTCTGGTGGGATTTTCAACATGATTTTTGAAAGCCCAAGTCTTTGTGCGAGCAGTTCTGAGCCCTCGAAGCTGAAGCAGAGGTCCTTGTCAGAGTCGGCTGCTATGGGACTTGATGTCGGCCAGGACCGTCTGAGCACCCCACAGCACAGCATGCTCTCCAGGGAGGAAACATCGAAGGTCACCAGCGATGACTCTGTGTTCGGCGCGGGGCTGGAAAACCACGAGGACTTTGGTCTAGATGCAAGTATTTTGAACGTCGCCATGGTCGTGGGCTACCTGGGCTCCATCGAGCTCCCTTCCACCAGCTCCAACCTGGAGTGCGACAGCGTGCAGGCCATCCGTGGCTGCATGCGGCGCCTGCGGGCCGAGCAGAAGATCCACTCCCTGGTGACAATGAAGGTCATGCATGACTGTGTGCAGCTGTGCACCGACAAGGCCGGTGTGCTGGCTGAGTACCCTGCCGAGAAGCTGGCGTTCAGTGCCGTGTGTCCAGATGACAGGCGGTTCTTTGGGCTGGTGACCATGCAGACTAATGATGACAGGAGCTTGGCGCAGGAGGATGAAGGTGCCCTGCGGACATCCTGCCACGTGTTCATGGTGGATCCAGACTTATTTCATCACAAAATCCACCAAGGCATTGCGCGGCGGTTTGGGTTTGTGTGCACAGCCGACCCTGACACCAGTGGCTGTTTGGAATTCCCGGCGTCCTCGCTGCCAGTGCTTCAGTTCATCTCCGTCCTGTACCGAGACATGGGGGAGCTCATCGAGGGCATGAGGGCCCGCGCCTTCCTGGATGGGGATGCTGATGCCCACCAGAACCACAGCACCAGCAGCAACAGTGACAGCGGCATTGGGAACTTCAACCAGGAGGAGAAGAGCAACCGGGTGCTCGTGGTCGACCTTGGTGGGGGCTCCAGCAGGCACAACCAGGGCAGTGGCCCTGGGTGGGAGGGTGCAGGTGGGCGGGGCTCCCAGCCCTGGGGTACTCCCTGGAATGGGGCCTTCTGCCATGACCCAGAGGCGGGCTCCCCATTTGAGACCGGCCCCCAGAGCGACAGGTTCCGGGACTTAAGCAAGCATTCAGGACCAGCCTCTCACGTGGAAATCCCCCCGGCCTCCTTGCGGAGTTCTGTGCCTCCTTCTAAGAGGGGCGCCATGGGCGCTGGTTATGGTTTCAGCCAGCGGTGGCTCCCAGTCCATGTGCTCCAGGAGTGGCAGGGTGGACATGCCAGTGACCAGGAGTCTTACACAGATTCTACGGATGGGTGGTCCAGCATCAACTGTGGCACCCTGCCTCCTCCCATGAGCAAGATCCCTGCAGACCGCTACAGGGTGGAGGGCAGCTTTGCGCAGGCACCGCTGAGTGCCCCGAAGAGGGACTGGTCCAGGAAGGCTTTTGGAATGCAAAACATCTTCGGGCCCCATCGAAATGTTAGAAAGACCAAAGAGGACAAAAAGGTAAGCCTGCTGGGAGTAGGTAAGGACAAATCTGCTTGAGGATGTAACTGAAGCAGCATGCATAATCCTGTTCTCCAGTTGTCACAAGACAGCTGCTCTGCCCTGTCCTGCAGACTCTGCCTTGCCTGGAGCCTGGGCCCTGACAGTTCCCTCGGCCAGTTGTGGGCAGAATGTGTGGACAGCACAAGTGGTGACTAAAGGGAAGTGACTTCTCACAGCCTGGGTAAAGCCTTCCCCCTCCTCCTCCTCTCTACTGCAGTGGCTGAAGGGCACCCCTCCTACAACCCCTTTGAAGCCCATTTTATTTCTGACTCAAGAGTTGTCACCCCAGTGTCCAAGGTGGGGAGCCCAGAGAATTGGCTCACTTTGGGGGAGGGTCCTGCAGTGTAAATTCCTGCACTTCTTCCTTCCTGGGGACTCCTGCTAGGCAAACAAGACAGACAGTCAGACTCCATACTGGGTCTGCTGGCTTAAGCTCCTTGCCTGCTGCTGACGGGGTCCATGCTTAGCAGCACTGCCCCCACAAAACTTAGATCTGTCAGTATTCCTTGGGGACCTTTGCCTCATGGGAGCTAAGATTGGAGCATAAAAGGGGAAAAATGAGAAAACCAGGGAGCTCCCGCCCTCCAGGCCTCTGTTCAGCAAAAGGTGGTTGGGCTGGTCTGATGTTTGGAACGAGGGTGTGCTGGCCAAAGGGAGGGGACAGTCTTAGGGGATGCTTGTGGTTCAAGTAGGCTTTCTGTGTTTATGCAGCTGCAGTTCCTGACAGCTGAAAATCTCCCTCAGAAATCCTCCAAAAGCTACTGGCCAGTCAGTGCTGGGGTAAGGGTAGAGGAGGGCCATGGCTGCAGCTGCCACATTGATGAGGATTTGTACCCACGTCCCCTCCCAACCTTTAGTCTTTTTCATTGTGAAATGAAATGCATCAGAGAAGGAGAGGTCAGCTATCTTGGGATTTTATTCCCTGGGATGATGTGGGTAACACTGATGACTGGTGTATCAGTGTAGATTAACACACACACACGCACACACACATTTGTAATGTATGGATTTTCAACCTAATTCTTTTTTATTTTCTAAGAATAAATGCCTAATGGGATGCTCTAGTGGGAGCCCCCTTGTCCTCTCTGGTCCTTGGTGGTTCTGAACTCTTAGATGGGCTCTCAGAATGATATTCTCTTGGCCTCCCTGCAGAGCCCACCTGTGGTGTGTCAGGAGTGCTACTGGGGACTGACCTTGTTGGGTAGCGGTGTGTAGGTAACAGGCCCTGGAAAGTGGCTAACTTGTACTTGAGCGGGGAAATTCACCATCTCTTTGAATACATGTCCAGGAAAGTGACTTGTCCATTGCAATACGTCAGTGAGGGAAACCGGTGTTTGGCTCTCTGCATGGGGCGTACTGAAGCCGAGGTGCATTGTGGAGCGTTACACTGCTTTGGATTATGAACACTGGTGGTGACTGTCCTCAGGACGCCTGGGAGACAGGCACATCACCGTCCCTGTTTTACAACTGACTTGACTGATCTGCGAAGGGTTATTGATTCGGGGAAGGTTAAACAACTGGAAAAAACAGGGTCGTGAGCTCAGCTCAACACAAACACATTGCAGCTTGCACTGAACTCACGGAAGAGTGAAGGACTCCGGGATTGCTATGTCTGCACTGCTGGGAGACAGTGGCCCCGTGCTCGCTGCCTTACAGACTGTGCTAGTTCTGTAGACCTTCATCTCCATTTTACTGACAAGGAAGAGAATGTTTATGGATGTTTTCAGACTTGCCTGCAGCCAGGTGGTGGCAAATGCTGGCCCTCAGACCAGTGAAGGCTGTGTGTCACCTCTGGAGAGAGATGCTGTAAAGATATGTGAACGGTTTACCTGCTAACAAGTGGAAATAGCTCATGGCCTGCTGGGTTCCTGCCATGTCTCTCCACACATCCCTGTCCCCGTTTACTGTGCTTAGTAGGTTTCCTTGCCTTGTGGCACTGTTGAATTGCACAGCCTTCGCAGGGTGTTTGTTGAGGTAGGTCGTAGCTGGTATGCTGGACCAGCAAAGTGGTAACTGACCCACCACAGTCAAGGATACCACCCCAGATGCTGGCCTGTGCTGGGCCAGAGGCTTGTCAGAAGCAGAGGAGAGGCCAGGGGCCTGAATCAAGTGTCCAGACACTAGGAGAACAAGAGGAGTTGGAGAGGGAAGGCAGAGATGTCAGGTGGTCGGGTTTCACTTTGCTCCAAATTCTTGTTGGTAGCAGCAGTGGCTGACACGCATGACTTTGTGCAGGCTGAATCAGTCACGATGTGGCCAGGGGTACAATGCACTGCAGTGTCTGAACAGGGATGTTAGGGCATCTGGGGACAGATGGCTAACTGTGGAGAGGTGGGAGACTGCCGAGGTGGTGTGCATGGGAAAGCGGCAAGGAAGAGACGTTGACCGTCAAGGAGACTCTGTGGGGCTGAGACTGAGACACCGGAGTGTGGAGTGGCTGCTGTCTTAATATTAGGAGCACTGGGACAGTAAGACTCTTTGGAAGGGAGCTGCTACTGAACTGTGGTGGCTGTCACCACAAAAAACGATGTCAGTACGACTGCATGTCAGTTTACCCACCACCATCTGCAAAACAGCACTGTGGAGAAACAAGTGCCCATTTCATTTCGACTTGCCTCCTCCCATGCCTCTGTTGGCAGGGCTGGATGTCAGTCCTGTGGGTGAGGGGCAAGCTGGTGTGCAGGGCCCAGCTCCAGGATCAGAAGCTGGGCAAGGAAGGGCGGGCTTGGGGCTTGGGGCTTGATGCCTGGCACCATGTCCCCATCGGGCCTCACAGTGTCCACACGGACCTTTCTCCCCATGTTGGGTCTTCCATTCAACAACCGAGTGGCCCAGGTGGACCCCAAAAGGCAGATTCTTCATGGTGAGAACAGCACAGTCCAGATAGGGGCTGCTGTTTGTCATGGTTTGTTTAGTGACTTCTGTGAACTGATTCTATGAAGCATAGTGTTTATTACATGGCTCCAAAGTGGCTTCTTGGTCACAGGCTTCCTCAGAAGCCTTAGCTGAGGGGCTCCACATGCAAGCTGGAGAGTGCTGAAGCCCTCTGCCTTAGCCTTCACTTCCTTCTCAAGGTCAGCCAGACTGAAAACTTTGGGACTTCTCAGGCTTTCCTGACATGTGCACAGCCCTACGGTAGCCTTCTAGAGTCCTGGAAATAGAGCTTTTTCAGTTCCTGGGTGTCTCTTGAGCCAGCCTTGGCCCACTATAACCTGAGGGTGTTTCCTGTAACCAGGAACAGTGCTAGCAGATCACCTCTGTGAGGTCCTTTGTGCAGTGGGGTAGCAAGCACACCTTGTCCAGGATGGTCTGAGCCCAGGCTGGGGAGGCTTCTGTTGGGGTATTCTTTCCTTAGGTACTCACTTGGAGCCCTGGGGGGAGGTGACTGACACCAGCGGAGGTGTCAGATGGAGGGCACTGCTGAAGGAGAGCTGAGAGTTCAGACTGAGGGCAGAGGTCAGAGATGCACCAGGAGAATTGGCTCCTCCCAGTTCCAGGCAGGGAGAGAGAGGCTAGTTGGTGGGACCCGGGGAGTCAGACGGCTGGGTGTGGGAAGAATGCATTCGCATTCTGCCTTGACTTTTGTGGTGGCCCAAGAGGGCTGGAAACCCTATCTTTAGCGATGTGTGTGGAACATGGGTAGGGCTGCCCTATGGGGGCAGGAGAGGGCCAGATGGAGGGATGAGAAGATGCTTACACTGGGAATGTGGCTCAGTGGTAGATGCTTGTGTAGCTGGTACAGGGCCCTGAGCTCCATCCATGGCAATACACACACGTGTGCACACACACATGTGTGCACACCCCTGCACCCGCACACCCCCACGTGTGCACACACCCCCACGCACAACACCCCCACACCTACACCCACACATTGGACACACACGTGTGCATGCACCCCCCACATGCACACTCACACATGTGCACACGCCCCCACCCCCCAATGCACACACGCACAATACTCAGTGCTCTCGGGCCCCAAGGGGGTTGCAGAACTTGAGAGAGCATGCACAGTGCACCGCAGTGTGGATATGCAAGGGGCCCATGCTGGGCTGCCTGCAGGCCGAGGGACATGCTACAGAAGCTGCTGGAACTGCCCTAGCGAGGGTCCCCGGATGGGCAGCTTGAAGAGCAGACATTCATTCTCTCAGTCCTGGAGGCTGTAGTCCCAGAGCCAGGTGTGGCCAGCTGCTTCCTCCTGGTTGTAGACAGCATCTTCCCCGTGTCCTCACATGGTGGTCCCTCTATGTGTGTCTGTCCTGATCTCCTCTTCCTGTAGGGACACCCATCACATTGGATTAGGGCCACCCCCGTGACCTCAGGTGGGTTAGGAAAGTGTGTAACTGATAAGGGACAACCCCCAAGACATAGGTGAAAAAAAGCAGGTCACAGAAGTAAGCATATTTTAATACAACCCCTTCTTGTGTGAAAGTTTCAAATAAGCCAGAGAAGTGTGTATCTGCTGGTGGAATGGGCCAAGTAGCAGAGCACCTACCTAACAAGTGAGAGGACCTGAGTTCAAACCCCAGCAGAGCCAGACATTTTTTTTTTTTTTTGCATGTGTTTAATGTGATAGATAGAAAAATGCCAGGGGAACACTCCAACCTGTAACATTGGTTACCCCGGGGTCAGTGAGAGCTGGGGAGGGTCCAGGACACTTGTAGCTTGTGTTGTTTCCATGTTTCTTGGTAGGAATGTGAACATACTTTATTTACTTAAAAAGTTTCCTTGGAGAAAAAAAAAGTATTATTTAAAACATTCTTTTAATAAGAACAATCAGTGAATAAGAACAGCCAGTGAGCCGTGGCATTGGAAACCATAGCTGTCTTCGTATTGCACAGCTAATTAAAGGCTCATCAGATATCAAGCCAGGTGAGTACTAGATTTAAGGAAACAGATTTTGTACATTTTTTCGTAGTATAATGAGAGGGAGTTTCAAAATAGATGGCAAGAAAATATCT